GTAAAAATATAAATAAACTACTTGCTGTGGGATATTACAATTATAGCAAAAAATCTATAAATAGTTCATCCAAGTTCAGTTTATTCAAGTTAAGTTCTTTTGAAGAAACTATTACAATAGTAGAGAAATTTGAAAAATCTGATTCAGATTATACACTATGTAAAGGATCTATTGGCTTCCAAAAGAAAATTCACAAAGTAAACTCAGAAAAATTAATGAGTATGAAAAAAAAATCTGGCAATAAGATAAAACCTAGAAGGAATATAAGCTAAACAGTCTGATTTAACTAGTCTGGAGCAGTGATTCACCAACTTAGAATATTTTTTCTATTAAAAATATGATATAATTATATTAGCAATAAACATAATAATGAGAAAATCATTTAGTGATATATTTATAAGAGATACTATTAATTGGGTAGATTATTTATCCTCTTCAAGCTCTTCAGTTTTAGAACCTAAAAAGGGTATACAAATACTAGCTCCTACACAAAATAATAGTTTTGTAAGCGAATATATTAAAATAATAAAGCTATATGTTATTGCTATTAGCAAAGATTTAGATAATATAGATATTAAAGTAAAATTTCTTTGTAGATTATTACCTGATAATAAAAAGCATATAAATAAGTTTGGTGTTAAAAAGCCTTTAACTGAAATATTCAAATATCTAGTTAAGTTTTCTACTAATCCGAAGTAGTAATCACTAGCTTAGAAAATTTTTTTTATTTAAAGATATAATATATAATATATACTAGATATAACATATTCAAACATCTTTTATTTACCAGAACTATTAAAATAGATTCTATATTTCTTAGTGGTAGATAAACTCTTCTATTCCACTTTTTTTGTTTGCCGGCTTTGATATAGATACAGTGTTTCTATTCTATAGCATCACATTGAGTTTTTCAATAAAGATTATCAGCAAAGCAAGTATGCTCTAAACATGTCTCAGATTCTTACTTGGCAATTGATAAACTTTGAAAGAGTTATATATGAAAAAATAAAGCTACTCTATTGTTCAAAGATAGTATATTTCAGATTAGAAGGTTTAAAAATCTTAGATCCTTTAATTAGTACAATTCTTTATTCATATTTGGATATACACTTTTTTATTCTTTATAAAAGTAAGAGTTTCACT